GAGGTTCCTCTTTTTGTGTCTCCTGACCTGCTGTGGCCTCGTCTTCATGCTCCACACCTGACAATATGCGGTGAAGTATCGTGGCCATACCGTCTGATCTTGGTAAGCATCTCCCGTCATCATCATTCACCTTGATGTAGGGTATGTTGTCATGCACCGATAGCGGGATCTTGTTCGCGTTCTGGTCGATGAGGTATGGCATCTGATTTGCAGGCCATATGAATGAATACCCTTGTTCCATGCATCGTTTCCCGATGGAGAAAACTGATGGTGTGCTCTCCAACACGTGTGCCTCGGACATCATGGGTAGTTCGTCCACATTGATGTCCACCATCTCCGATGTACTAGTTACTCCATTCGCTGTCATGAAGCTCACGGATTTGGGTCCTTCCTTAGTGGTAAGGCCCATGGCGTTGACTTTCTCTCTTGAGATCAAGTCGTGCCCACATCCCGTGTCCATGATGAATCGTATCGGTGGTCCATCATACCTCTCCACGGCCATGAACATCGTATCTCCCGGTATCGTGTAGTTGACAGAATCTTTCCTTACTACCTCGCTGGTGTTGAAGTCAGACAGGTCGACGTTCACCTCGATTCCTTCATCTTGAGTGATTTGTATCCATGCCTTGGCAATGTGTTCAGCAGAGTATAGCTCCATCATCTTGCCTTTGGCATGCGCTACTCGTGCAGCTATGCTGTTCACTCTGAGGGTTCTCAACGACGAAATGATCTCGGTATCCACCTTCTGCACCTCGACCTTCTTCTTCTTGAGGGGACGGATATTTAGCTCATTACCAGGATCGCAGGTAAACATGGTCACATCCGCCCGGTCATCGAATCTGACTTTAAAGCGAAGTTCCAGCTTACCTTGTTGTACATTGGGAAGTGCGGGTTGCGCGTCCTCGCCATCACTCTCGATGTCTCCGCAAAGCATGAAGGCTGGCGCAGCCGGTTTGGGCTTGGCTTTGCCTTTAGCTTCTTGTTTTGTAGCAGGAGCAGCGTGATGCTGGCGACGACATTTGTCCCCGAACTTGCACGATCCTTTCTGCCAATTCCAACAGACCTGATCCTTCATTGGCTTGGGGCTAGTGCTCCTGCCACCAGGACTCTTTGATCTGTCACCCTTGAGACTTTCTGGTTTCTTAGCAGAACTCTTGTGCTTCTCTTGATGACTAAACTTGCATTTGTCTCCTCTGGAGCATCCGTTCTTCCCATAGAAGTGGAAGGCGCATCCTATCTTGGACGTGTCTGCCGGAGTCGCTGACCTGCCACGGTCCCCTTTCGGGCTCTTCGTGGTTGACCTTCCACGATCCTGCTTCTTGTCCTTCTTTTGGTGATCCTTCGGATTATTCTGAGGAAGTACTGGAGCGGCGTCCTTTGGTGGATCGGCCTTGGTATTCTTGGGCTTCGCTTTAGGGTCCTTCTTCTCCGCTGGTGTAGCCTTCATGAGGTTCCCAAAAGCTTTTTCCCTTTCTTTCTTATTTGTGGTCTCGATTGATTTCCGTATCCACTTCGCCATAATCTCCCGTAACTTCTGATAGGTCTTATCCGGATCCTTATCCAACATGTTGTCGTACACGGACAAGTCTAACGCCATAACTTTGGAATCTTTAATCTTGTCCCAAAGCAGGTTGCGGAGTGCTTTGTCAGGAAGCATGTCATCCGCATCCATACCTGATATGATCTCATCCCACTGTCCAAGGAATCTGGATAGTTGATTATCTCCAGGGAACTTTAGATCGAATAAGTGCTTAGATGCATACATCACATCGACGTTGTCGGCACTCCGGAAGCTATCGACGATCAACGCTAACATTTCTCGTCCCTTAACCATTCCCGGGGTTGTGCCTCTCGCACGTCTCTGCATCATCTGCCTCACCTTCAGTTGTACGTCATGAGATCTTTCACCTGCTGCGTGGATAATCGCGTGTAGGGTGATGCCTAGCTTGGCATCTATGCTAGCGAATCTTGCTTCGCCCGATGTCTCGAGCAGAAATGGGTCGTATGGTGATTTGAAGGCATCCGAGAGCCACTGGATCCAATCTTCTTGTCTTTCGTCGCCCGATGCCGTCACGACTGCCGCTACAGTTTGGGACTTCCAAACCTCCAAGTCGTGTATCTTGGGCCATGCAGGGATGTTGATCTTCTCGTGTTCCTTCCGAGATATTTTGGAGCCACCCGAGCTAGAGGATGAAGCGGCACCATACTCGGTTGCGGCTGCATTCTCAGCGTTCGAGCGCTCCTCTTCGTATCTCCTCCGGTACTTATTCCTCTCATCTCTGAGCCGTGCTGCATGCGCTTCGAATTCCATCATGTCCTGTTGGTTCTGCATCATACCTTCGTAATATTCCATCGCCTCTTTCTCCTCGGACCTTAATGACTTTTCGGTACGTCCAAGTTCCGCTCTAAGCTTTGTCATCATCTCGTTCTCCACATTGCATCCTGATCCCATGTCTTGTGGTTTCAACTCCAGTGCGACCTTCAGTTGTGCTTCACTTGCGCTTGATTCGATCAATTCTTCCTGGAGATGTTTCAACATCCTCTCTTTACGTAGAATGTCCTCCTCCAACATGTTCATCTTGACCTCGGCTTTCTTGAGTTCGGCGCTGAATGTTTGAGACGGTCGACCGGACCCTTGAATCCTTGCCTGTGCCACCTCTTCGTTCGCCCTCTTCAATTGCTCTCTGATGGTCATGATGAAGTTGTCCTGGTTATAAGATCGGTTGTTGAGCTCCTCATTCTCTTCTGATAACCATTTGATCTTGCTTGTATACATTGCTTCCTTCATCTTCATCTCCTCGGCATATTCGTGTTTGTTCCTGACACTCTGCCTTTGCAGTCCAACTACCTCCTGCCTATACAGATCCCTAATGTTCTCAGCATCTGCGACTGCAGTCATGAGCTCGGTTACGGCTCGATCTCTTTCCGCCGATATAGCCTGGATCTCTTCCGTGCCGATGTTCACAACTTGACTAACCATCTCTGCGCTGTTGCGATCAGCGTACTCCCCTAACTGGGTGAGACGATCCCGCATTGCCACACGATCAGTGTCAATCTGGTATTGCAAATCGTGTGCTGCTGAGAGCAAACAGTCTCTAGATTCTGTAAGTTGGGAGATTCTTCGTTGATTTCCATATCCTTCGACATAACATTCTTCGAGGTGTGTCATCACTACTTCGTGGACTTCGGTCTCGTGTTGTATAATCTGGTTCTGTCTCTGCTCACATTCGACCATCCATGCGTTTTGGTGGTTCAACATATGCACTTCGGCAAGTAGTTGTGCACACTTCGCATTGAGGTCTCCATCGGCCCGTGCTAGTTGTAGGTTGTCGGTGCTTGCCCTTGCTCCATCTCCAGCTTCGCTGTCCGATGGCACTGGTACAGTTGACCCATCCTCCAATGCTAGCACTCTCACAGCTCCGGTGTCAGTCCTCCTCCTCGTCTCCCTAGGGCTACGGCCCGATCTCGGTGTCCCCCCCGGTGGTGTCGAGTGCGCTGACGGGGAACGACTTCGTGCTCTACCTGTCGCAACTTCTCTCACCACTGTCAGAGTCTCCGCTTCGATCGTACCTGGACTAGAGTTGTGGGATGCACTCACCCGATCTGCTGCAGCAGCTGCTGCTCCAAAGGATGCAGTGCTGGCGTCGGATTGGTCCATCTTCAGTGACTGAGGGTAACTGATCTATCCGATGCGTGTGCGTTTAGATGGTGTTGTGTAAGGCCGTAGCTCGTACCCAGCTCAAAGGAGTCTGGATACGGCTGATAACCTGCGAACGGATGTAAAGCGTGCCCCGGGCCCCGTTCTAGCCCTTAGTTTAACATGAAGCTCGCGCGCAATAGCTCCTTTTCGCCTGGTTGGGCACTTGAGCCAAAATGTTTATGGCCAGTGTCCATGTAGCAGTTATACTGGGACCTCATCTCTATTCACACATCGGAAAGCCTACAAAATGGGATTTGTCACAGAATGAATATGATCATAAAATAAGTAAATATATTATATATACATATGCTACGATACGCTACGCTCCGTTACGCCCGTGATACAAATCAATGGTGTGGCTTGATGGGTAACGGCATGTTTGTCGGGAGAGATTGCGCCAAGCGGGCAAAGAAACTCCTTCCCTGCCGATTGGAAAAGTGCAAATCATGCTGGTGACGCCTTATTGTGCATGGAACACTTTTACTTACAACACAATCTTTTCTTCGCTTGATTTTTTATGATATTTCCGCTGATAATTACGGACCCCTAGTCTGTGCTGACGTTTTCTTTGAGGTGATCAGTGCTGCTGTTTTGAGAAGAAAGGATGTCTTTTTGGCACCTGCATGGAGGTGTTTGCACTTTTTCGGGGATGGGCTTTGACATGCTTTGACGATCCATAGACATTATCTGTCATTGTTGGTCGTCCGTGGCCAATTGCAACAAATTGGTCGTCATGATCAGTGGTTACTTTTGGAACAAATTCTTTGTCCGATTGGTTCCTTGTGAGCTGTGGCAACCTGTCGGGCGGTCTGGCGAACTCTGGCCACTTGTATTGATTTGGTGCGTCTGGTGACTGATTATGACTTGCGGTCTTCTGTTTGGTAACAAAACAATGGATGCTCTGTTGTGACTTGTCCGAAGGTACCAAGAAGCTGAATCTGAACCGCTGGAGGGGACGAATGTAGACTCTTGAGCAACCAAAAAAACTGAGGTGGAAGAGGTTTACAACTAAAATGAGGGTGTTCTATTTATGTGATCAATCAAGAGTCCAAAGAACTGTGGTTTGATGTGGTTTGGATGTCCTTCGAAGAACAGTTTCCTCTTGATACGGTGTATAAATGGACTAAGCACAGCCCCAAGGGGTGTTAGACTTACACGTTCCCAAGTTGCTGGCCGTTTGTGAACAAGGCTTTCCAGTCCTTGGGAGGAAAAAGAACTGAGACCATGGTCACCAGTTAGGAAAGAAGTGTCCGATAGTAGTTGGTACCAGTTCAGTTCTGCGTGTTCCCCTCACATCCGCCTCCTGGGGCAGCAAGGTCAACGGTGCCACCACACGTGTGGGTGAGGCCTGGCAGCTGAAGCAAGATGGGTAACAACATTGTTACTAGTAGCTTCTTGTTACTAGTAACTAGCAGCGATGCACCTTGCTACTAGGAGTTCTTCAATTCCTTCAATGCATGTTATAGGGGTTTCACATTTCTGTAGTGCGGGGGTAGATGGCATGGAAGTGGCCTAAACCACAAGAGGATAGCATATTATAGGCTCCCTCCTCATGCCATCAACTCGTTATCCCCTATAAATGTATTTTTTGTTCAACTGTTCCATTTTTACCCATGACTTCTCCATTCTCATTCGACAGTACTCTGAAGAGTACTCTGAAAAGGGCGCCCGTCCGTCCACATGGCCCACACCTCCACACCTATCGTCCAACTTCGGCATGTCTGCTGATACCACAGGAATGGCAGTGCATGATTGTTTGGACCAAGGAAGTATAAATTCCACCACGCCAACACCCTGACCGTCAAAAGCCGACCACCACCAACAGCACAGGGCCCCCATGGGCCCGCGGTGTTTCGGCTGATCTCCAAGGCTTTCATGGCCTCGCCCTTTCTCAACAATCGACTTCACGATCGAATTGAGGCCTTCAGGGACTTCTCTTCCAAACCCAACAGCTCCCCAACTCCGACCCTGACCGCCTCGCCATTCTCCACCAGCGGGCGGATGGTCTCAGTCGAGTCCATGACCTGCGAGAACAAATCGGCACGGCGGCGACTTGGATTTGCATGTAAAGCGATACCAATAGGAACAAGAAGCTACTAGTAACAAGGGCATCGCTTATATCAAATGATGTCCAAAAAGGAAGATTGACAAACAGATAAGATTAACACAATTTTCATATTTCCCAAGGAATTCGGCTGTGGGTTATACCCCCAGATTTTGTAGCAAAAACCAACCTTTGCAGCAGGCAGGTGCACTATAGAATGAGGAACTCAACTACCAGCAGACATACTTCTGCTATAAAATTAAGAGCTCAAGCTAGAGGAGAACACAGCCAAGCTTCACTATAAAATAAATGTTGATAGGTTTGGGTGTCAAAATTGATGGATCGAAACTAGCTTGTTTTTGGTCTCAGCAGGTATTTTATAGTGAAAATGCCTGGGTTCTCCTCTCCATTTCCCGATTTCTCATTGCCGCACTCGTGATGCTTTTTTTCCTGAAGCCACAGTCATTCCTGGTCTTTGTCTCTGCTATTCAAGCCTGGCGTTCCTCATGGAACAGATCCTTGCTGATGAATGCACTCCCAAATTAGGATATACATTTCTTGATAATGTTTAATGATGTTGAGTTATGTTCTTGAAATTTGTTGATTATTTTCTTTAAAAAAATCTTACTCTTTCAAACTCCTTCAAATTCATTCAATCTGAACTAACAGGCCTAGTCTATCCTAGTCTAATCCATAAAGAAGCTAGCGAATGGGTTTCCGGCATTCTGCAAGGATTTTCCCCTGTTGCAAATCTACAGTATCATTCCACATCAATCCACATCAGACGGCTCCCGCAAACCAGGCTCTGTCTGCGAAAACTCCTTGCCGTAAGCCTCGCAGATATCACGCAGCAATCGCATGAACGGTTTCCTGTCCTTTGATGGACCCGACATGCTCTCTCCAATCTTGCTCAGGATCTCGTGTACCTTGTAGCCCCACTGGTTGGCGTGGGCTCTGATGAACCTAGCAGTCAAGTGACACAGCAAGAGAAAAGACCCCCCCAAACAAAGTTAGAAAAGAAATACTGCAAATAGATAATACCTGAAGAATCCTAAAGACATGCTGTGAGATGCTGTGAGCTATATTTTCTGAAAACAAACCTGTTGAGCAGGTAGGTTTACTATAAAATAAGGAACTCCACTATCAGCAAACATAAACTGCTATAGAATAGAAATCTGTTCATATCTTTTCTCCATTATCAATAAATATCAACAATATAAATTGATTTAAAAAAACAATTCAAATAATACTATAGCCAAAGTATTCCAAAGTCATCCAAGGAACCTCACCTTGAAGTATGGGAACACAAATTTGACCACGTCCTGCCACAGCACATCAGAGCAGACCGGCGCCTTGATTCTACACTTGCAGCTGTCAGCAGCAAACAAAGGGTTGTTCTTGAAGATGCTGTCGTCCATGCCCTTCAACTTCTCCATCTCCTTCATGATGAGATCCCGTCCCTGCTTGTTCTTTCTCAGGTTGCCTGGCAGCATTTCCACCATTTTGGCAACCTGTTTCAACCTCGTGCGCCGCACCTTCAATGTATGTTTCTTCTTCTTGTTGGCAGCTGTCTTGTTTTCTGCTGGTGCCACTGCATTCATATCTGTCAGCTCTTCTTGCGACTCAGCATGATCCGGTTCCTGTTCTGTTGCTTTCTGGGGTTGCTTTTTGCGGCCTTGCCCTTGCCGAGGAAGGAACAATGTGTCATATTTGCCAAAAGCATCATTTCTCGGCCACCAGTCCGCAACATGTTCGAGATCTTTCAGGAGCCTCATTGAATCGTCACTCATCACAACTTGGCATTCTTCAGCTGTTTCTGTCTGGGATTTGATATCCAAGACTGCCACGCCGGCCTCAGGCATCAGGTTCCACACATTAGAGGTTGCAGAGCAAGTCCAAACATCTGCCTTGCCCTCCTGAACCTTCATCTCGGCCACACGAAATGTCAGAACGTGGCTCATGGAAATTGGGGCTGCGACCTGACGCTTGTTCTTGCATCTGCGCCAAATGGTTGTGATCAAGCCCACTATGGATTCTCGCCCCCAGCCAGCCCATGTTTTCTTCGGCAAGACCAGTAGCATGACTTGCCCAGGCCTGAACTGAAAACAAAATAAAAAATACATAAACTAAAAAAGCATAAACACAAAGGATCACAAAGGTATATTTTTAAAACATAAAAATATCCTAAAATATCCTAAAAGATCCTAAAAGTATCTATAAGTATCTAAAAGATTCTAAAAGTACAGAACAAAGAAAACATGAAAACTATTCATTAAGAAACCAAGCTGCTCAATCTTGTCAGGAATCTCCAAGTCTGCTTTTGATTGCGATGACGCTGCCTTTGCAGCTTCTCGCCATTTGTCCAAGCGTCCAGTCCGCCTTCGAAACTCCGCGTCCTCCTCTGAGTTCCGCATTTCGCACAGGATCCGTTCATTCCACCTTGGATGCAGTAAAAAAATCTGACTAGTTTGGAATACTCTACATATTGTGCGGGGGAACTATCCTGTATAATCCTGTATAACTAACACCACAATAATTCTAGTATATTCAAATCCTATGAAATCCTGATTCTATAGTAACTCAGTCTCTTGTTAAACAATGTTTTTTAATTTATAGTGAATGAAATTGGTTGAGGGATGTTGAGGGACTATGGAGGGAGCTGCGCAAACCAGTTAAATCCTGATTCCATAGAGACCTGTTGTCTTGTTAGATGAGTTTCTTTAATTTCATAGTGTAGGAACCTGGCTTGAGGGGCTTTCAGGGGAAATGTACAATTGATTCACATCCATTCAATTCCTAATTCTATAGTGTCCTGGTGTCTTGTTAAATGGTTGTTTTTTGATTTTATAGTGGATTAAATTGCTGAAGGGACCTGGGGGGGAAAAATAAAAGCTAAACAACTCCTGAATCTATAGTGGCCGGACATCTTTGAAAATATGCGTTTCTCATTTTATAGTGACCTGATCTTGATTCTGAATCTAAAAACTCCAAATAAATCATCATAGAATATCATAGATCTACTAGAACTACAAATATATCTACAGTATTCTACAGTACCATATATGAATCTAATATAATCTAATGTTGGCTCAGGCACTTATGCCACGAAAGCCCAGCTGACGCACGTCTGCTCGAACGAGCATTGGGCACCCAGTGTTTATCACTGCCCCCACCCCAGTGCCGAAGCGACATACTCAATCTCCAAAGTCTGTCCCAGATGTTTGGATCAGCTTCACTGAAGAGAGCTTGGTGTAGGGTATGTGGCTGAGATATGGCTTGATTCTTTTCCTCGTTTTCTTCCACTCCAAAAGGTTTGTTGGGACTATAGCTGGCCTTTGCGTGGATGACATCTTGAAGTAATTCTGCATCAGGAACACTTCGGAGCTGGAACTTCGATAGGTCTGCTTCCGGCATTGGCTGATCAGATTGATCTCGGGCCTCTTCCTCCAGGTCCCAAAGCATCCTCATGCACTCATCCATCTGCTCAGGCTCTGGTTCGTCCAGCTCCTCATCCATGTCAAAGTCAACCAAAAAGGGGTCAACATCGAAGCTACCATTTTCACTCCACTCGATGTACATTTTCTCCAAGGACGCAGTGGAGACTCCAGCACAAAAGCTCACTAAGTGAAGAGCGGACTGCATTGCTCTCTTGCTGCATCCTTGAAATTGTTCTGGAGTGAGCCTTGGCAAATTGCGCAAATTGCCCTGCTTCAGCCCATCTTTCTTTCTCTCTGCTATCATTTTTCTGGCTGCAGCGCGCCAGTAGCTCCGAGCAGATAGTTGAGCATTTGAGCTCTGAACCCGTAAGTGGCCGAACCACTCCTCTATTGGGAGTTCACTGTACCTTGCATGGCCTCGCGAAAATGGATCCCAAGTTCCATTTGGCTTGGACGCCGCCAACACCACCATTGACATAGCCACACTCGCCAAGTTGTCGCTGGTCTGAGGCGCGATCCATCTGCTTCCTTTTGGAAGTCCTTCTCGGTTGCAGGATGTGTCGGCCACGAGCCGAAATAGATCAAGTAGTATGATTCCTTCCATGGCAGATTGGCAACGTGTCTGCATGCTCATGGACTTGTGGAGATGGGGCGCCACACACAGGGCCGTTGTGAGGTTCAAAAGAAGAAACCCCCGCAGCTTCCATGGAATCACTGCAGCATTCCCTGCGATGTCCTAAGGCTGCTATAAAATAAAAAATAGAAACATACAAAGGAAAATTCTCCTATAGAATCAAAAACCTAGCAAATAAAGGCAGAGCAAAAACATATCATATATATTCAATTATATTCATATATATATAGGTATATAAAGAAGGTATATGAAGGTATAAGAAAGTTCAATCCTTTTTGTATCTTTTTGTTGGGCCCCTCAAACCCCTCAATTCCATTGAATGTATTTCAATGATGTTCAATGTCCTTTTTGTTGACTAATTTTTAATTCTATAGTAAATGACTGTATATAAGGTGGAAAGTTTTTTGATTCTATAGTGGTTGAATCTGGTTTGAGGATAAATGCGGTGAAGAATCTACATTCTCCAGCAAGAAGTAGGGGTTGAAGAGGGTGCAGTTTAAGGCATCTGACATTGGCTCGGCTCTGGCCCAGGCAGAAACGGGCATGGAAAAGGACAAAGTCCCGCTCGCATCGCAAAAATATTTGCCGAATCGGAAGCAGCGAACTGGCGATGTCACTTGCCCACCCACATTCTTTGCTGCATGACCTCAAATTTGACAGACATTTATTTCATTTCCATCCCTTTCCCAAAATATCGACAAAGTTGCCAATACATTCCAACACTAAGCTCCGCTGTTGGGGAACAATAAAAAACATCCAACAACTATCAACAACTAAACATTAACATTAACCCATATTGTATCAAACTGTGGCAAAAGACATGGACCCGGCAAAGGATATATTGGATCGCCATGGTAGAGAGCGACTCTCGCCGGCAATCTCGGCAACGAATGGCTCGGCAACTCTTCA